TCTATAAAAAAGAAAGAGAATATATAAGCCACAATATTCACAATTCTGTGTTCATTCTTAAAAATAAAGTTGGTCTAACTGTTTTTTGTGAGTTGCTTTAAGGTTCTTTGTAGATTAATACATCTCTATAATATCTAATTATAGATTTTTGTTGGTGTTTTTGATCAAATTCTCACAAGATTAAATGATCTGATCTGATCATCCACATTTATTTTAAAGCTCTATATTCTTACTGGATGACTGCCAGACTCTGTTTCTGTCTTGTGTTGTGTTTTGTTCCCCACGTGCTCCATGTTATGTTTATGCCCTTATTTGGTCTTCCTGTTCCTTGATTAGGTTTATTTGTCCCAGGTGTTTCCTATGTTTATGTCATTATTTCCAGGTGTTCCCCATTTTGTTCAGAGTACTTAAGCCCTGTATTTTTCATTGTTTGGTTGTACGGTATTGAATGTCTGTATGTGTATATCTCTCCTGCTACGTGTGTTTTCCTGGTTCCCTAGATGTCATTAAAATCTCATTGTTTATGTACTCCTCGTGCCGCGCTCTATCACAGTAGCAACGTGACAACGACAACTACTGACTTACTGCAAAAATTAAACAGCTTCCTCAGTATATTTGTCTTATTTTTCAGTACAAATAGAATGATTTCTGAAGATCATGTGACACTGAAGACTGGAGTAATGATGCTAAAAATTCAGCTTTGATCACAGGAATCAATTAGATTTTAATGTATATTAAAACTATAATTGTTATTTTACATCATAATAATATTTCACAATATTACATTTTTCCTGTATTTTTGATCAAATAAATGCAGCCTTGATGAGCAGAAGAAACATTAAAAATCGTTTTGATCCCAAACTTTTGACTGGTAGTTACTTAACCGACACATTAAACTCCATTACGTAGCCTGAATTATGAAACTGCATAAAGCTCTGGGTTCACAACCACAGGAAACACAAAAAAGCACAGCAGAAATGCAAGAAGGAAACACAAAAACAGGACAACGACTAAATGGAGCGCAAATAAGACAAACCATGTTCACCTGACAAATGAATATAAGGTTTGGTTTGTTGAAGCATGACATACGGTCTGATAAAGCACAGCAGAGCTTCACATCTCCATCACGTCGCGTGCCAACCTCACGTTTCCTCTTCTTACTTTCTGAGTTTTGCACCAGTTGAAGGCCACACCCTCAAGCTTTCTTTACACTCTTCATATCTTTCCAGAAGAAACCGAGAAGATCGATTCAAATCCTGCTACGGTTTTGAAGCCTCCGACACCTTGAAGGTTTTGTATCACGTTCGTCTGTGTTTTTCAGCGAGTTTGTTCCTCTCTGGTGCTCTTGCGGAAATGACTGATCAGATCTGAAGGCCATGAGTGCTTTACACTCACATCATCAAATAAACCCAGGCCTTTTTCTCCTTACGAGCCGATAACATCCTATGAGCGTACGATCCGGCATCTTTAAAAGCAAACCTGAATGAAGAATTGAGATGAGAAACACAGAACAGAGAAAAGCCTCCAGTCCTTACCTTTCTCTCTGCACCGGCACAAGCTTCAGTGTAAAGTGTCTGTGACGCAAGAAACCACTAAACTTGCCTCAGTGACTTCCTGAGTCTTTACTTTCTGTCTTGATTCTCTATTTCTGATATACGCCTTTATCTCGACCTCTGCATGGTGTCTGCCTTCATCCATATGCTTTATATAGGAAACATCAGGCCAACATGCCATGTTATTCAGCGGCCTAAATATGGGAAAGACAGATGGACATCAGGACACAAAACCACAGTGCTTTGATATAACTATGTTTATTCATACGTTTAGTAGATGCTTTTTTTAAAAGCGTATTGCAAATGAGGAAAATCACATGCAGTTTGTCATAAAGGGCAATCATATTCTCAGTATACATATTAATTAGTGCTGTCAAACCGTGATTAATCACATCCAAAATAAAAGTGTTTGTTTACATAATATAAGTATGTGTGCTGTGTATATTTATTATGAACTGTATATATAAATACACACACATGCATGTATATATTTCAGAAAAATATGTTATGTTTATATATTAAATATATTTATAATATAAATTATATGAATGTAAATATAGACATGTAAATATTTTCCAAATATATACTGTATGTGTGTGTATTTATATATGCATAATAAATATACACAGAACACACACATATTATGCAAACAAAAACTTTTTGTATGCGATTAATCGCGATTAATCGTTGGACAGCACTAAAATTAACGCATAAGCTACAACAGAACACGTAACATGGTATTTTCATGGTTATTCCAGGGTACTTCAAAGAATAGTATTGTCATAAGGTAAATAAATGTTCAAGAAAACATGGCATATCCATAGTATTAACAAAACAAACAAAAACAGGTATTTCTATGGTACTATGTCTGTAGTACTTTGATATGAATACTTTTATGTTTATGCATTGTAACGGACAAAACGTTACGTGGTTTTATTATTGTAGATTCGCTCCACTTTTCTTGTGGTCTCACATGTAGACCTCTAGGAGCAGCTTGAGGGTGCTATTGCCTGGAGGTAACGGACATATAAGTCCGATCACCATAGAGGAAGTCAGTTCGTTTGGTAGAGGGGAAACCATTTGGTTGAACTCATGCTACCGGCTGGCTCTATGAAAGTCCTTGGTTGAGAACTCTGAGTTTCTGCTCAGCTGTGAGTATGGTTTGGTTGATTTACCTGACAACGTCTGTATAGTGAAGTTACTGATGTCAGTCATTTGCTTTCCTTTTAGAAAGGACTTTAATTATCTATGTCAACACTTCGCTATTCTACAAAATGATTGCTTTCTTTGTGTGTAATTGACTGGATGCATATTAAATCACCTCTGGGTACGAGGGGTGAGTTCATCCAACGCTGCACACAGGGCAGCAACCCGCCGAATGCCAACGATACTGTGGGTTATAGGAATACTAACATTGCATCGCACTCAAATAACTTTGTGGATTAGAACGTCATCTCATCCCTCATCTATTCTCGTACCTCAACTGCACATGGAATGATAAGTTTATTTCAAAACATTGACTGAGTTAAAATACAAAGTGCATTTAAATTGTTTATGGTTTATTTGTTTGTTTTTGCAACTGTGTGGGTATATATACACTGGTGGGAAGAATAAATTAGGATACAAAGATAATTTGGGTTGTGAAGAGTATTTTAATCAGTACATGTTGAAAGTCTGTTGAACCCCTCAGAGTAACAGCTTTAAAAAAGTGAGGTGTTACAGCATTTAGCAGATGCTTTTATCCAAAGCATCTTGGAAATGAGGCAAACAGCATACAATTTGTCATAAAAGCCAACAATATTCACAGTATACAAGTGTACGAACTATATTAATGCATAAGTTAGAGCAGAACAAGGTGATATCGAATGATTACCATATTCACTTAGCATGGTATTTTCATGGTATTCCAGGGTGCTTCAAAGCAAAGCATTATTATAACATGGCAAATGTCCAAGAAAACATGACATTTCCATTGCACCATGTTGAAAAACAAAAATTAGTATTTCTATGATACCATGATGTCCAAAAATCAACAACAGTATACACCACGGTACTTAAAGGGGTCATCGGATGCCCATTTTCCACAAGTTGATATGATTCTTTAGGGTCTTAATGAAAAGTCTGTAACATAGTTTGGTTAAAATTTCTCAATGGTAGTGTAAAAACACCTTTTTTTACCCTGTCAAAATCAGCTCTTTTCAGATCAAGCCATTTTGTAGCATTTTCCTTTAAATGTTAATGAGCTCTGCTGACCCCGCCCCTCTCTTCCGAGCTGCTCTCAGAGAAACTGTTTACTTTAGTCGCATTCATTGTGAAACTTGCTAATTAGCACATTATTAGGAAAGGCCATATGCAAAGATTCATTACAAAACATTATACTCACTTCTTCTGGAGGTGAGGCTGGATCACGAATGATTCGCGCGAGCATAGATGCATTTATGTAGATCGGGGCGCATTCCCTTCAGAAACAAACATAATCCACTGCGTCTTCAGTGGCTCAGATGTCGGGAGTAAATGACGACTGCTGTTCATTATTACATCCAACAACAGAACACCTCAATCGCTTGTTAGGAGTCATTCTTGTCTACATCTGCTCTGGCGGTGAAACAATGGCGGACTGATGAGAGGCACTCAGGGCGGAGCTAAGGTAAGACACCAGTCCAGTCTGTGCAGAAACGCTACTGTCAATCAAACTAGCGTGGGAGGGGCCTGTCTGTGGGGCGTCACACAGACAGGCATCTGAGATCGGCTCGATTTGAGAAAGGGGTAAAGATTTAATGAGATTTTAAAAAACACTGGGTGGATTTGTATCATTATAGGGTGGTTGTGTACACACACTGCCAACACACATTTCAGATCAAACAACTTGTAAAAGTGCATGTAGCATCCAATGACCCCTTTAATGTTTACCATATCCATAAACAATATTTATCTGATACAAAGTATATCAAATAATTCAAAGGTAGTGCAATGGTATATACATCCAAAAATATGGTATGTTGAAATAAAAACATGGTATTTCACAAAAACGTGATAGTGCCATGATAGTCTGAAAACTTAATTTGGCGTGTTATTGCAAATATGCATTTCAGGGTCTCCAGGGTCAGAGAATATAAAAGTGCTCATGTGAGGTACGTTGTATATCAAAGCTAAAGTTGTTTCATGTACAAAGAAAAGTATTCTCATAGACAGCAACATATGTTGAATACATTGATTACGTTCAGTGGATACTCTCAAAAATGGCGCTATAGGGAGGAGGCGAATTGTTGAATAAAGTCATTATTTTTGTTTTCTTTGCACACATACAAGTATTCTCGTAGCTTTGTAAAATTACAGTTGAACCACTGATGTCACCAGTGCAGCCAACTAATTTTCAGGGGAAGCTGCTAAAGGAAGGTCGATTTGTTGCTTAAAAGTTGCTAAATGATGTTGTGATGTCATTGCGCGATGACGACATCATTACGTAATTACGACGCAAAAATGTGCCACTGCATCAAATCTCAGCAAAAAATATATTTTATATGTTAATTTAGATTTGTTAGTAAAATAATATAAATACATTATATAATATTAAAACATAAATAACTATTTTTAAATACAACATTTAAATTATTGAACACTTACACATTTTTTAAACCATTACAATTATTTATTTCTTTATTAGCTAATAAACTAATAAAACTACACATTCTGAACAATTATAGTTTTAAGCAGCGTATTAGTAGTTAGTTAGTATGCTACACTCTAAGAAGAGTCTGTAAAAATGTTAATATGAAGGAATTTTCCGTATTGATTTTTCACAGGTTTTTTACCTGCATTTTAAATTATGCACTGTATTTTGTGTTTTTGTGTTACAACGGATAACACAATGTCCTGAAAAATTACTAGTACCTTTTCCATTTTTCTCAATATTTTTCTTACAGTGTACTAACTGATCAACAATCGCAGGTATAAGCTAGGCATATCATGAATTAACAATTATTCCGTTATTGTTATTAAATTGAACAATAGCAAATAGCAGCTAACTTAATTCACTGCTAGGCATCTTTGGTTTCCTCATTTTGTGCAGTTTAGATGGAAATTGAGTGCCTTTTTATCGTCGGAGTCACTTATCAAAAGTTGCTAATAATTGCCGAATACATTTTTAAAATAGCTACATTTGTTGCTAGGTGCTTTTGGAAGAAAAAGTTGCTAGGGTAGTGTGAAAAGTTGCTAAATTTAGCAACAAAATTGCTAAGTTGGCAACACTGGATGTCACATGGATTATTTGAATGATTTCCTTGCTTACGTTTCTGTGCATTGATCGTGTTAGGGTCCTTTCTGTCTGTGGAGAGTCAGAGAGCTCTCGGAATGTATCAAAATATCTTAATTAGTGTTCTGAAGATGAACAAAGGTCTTACGGGTTTGGAACGACATGAGGGCGAGTAATTAATGTCAGAGTTTTAATTTTTGGGTGAACTGTCCCTTTAAGTGTCACCCCCCCCCCATTTTTTGAGCATAGCCGTGAAAGTGCACTATCCAAACTTAAATTGTTATAATGAACGCTTTGGAATACAGACCTAAGGTTGGACTCCGTTTTAAGACAATCTTCTTTAAAAAAAAAAAAAACCTTCCAACCTTCAAAATATTAAAGTATCAATAAGTTATAGAAGTTTAAATTTACTGTAAAGAAAACGCACTGTACCAATTTTTGCTAATTACAAAAATATTTTTGAATCCAAAATTGCTATAAAATTAAAACCTTATGTCTAAATAAGTTATGTTCCAAATTTGAAGTTGATATTAAAAAATTGCGGTTCCTGTGAGATAAGTACATATAATCAATATGTACACACAAAATCCTTTTAAAGTGTACAATATGTGCTTTTGTGAACTTGACTATTAGACAGCAATTAGCAAATTTGTTTGAAGTCATCAAACCCGTTACTTTTTAGAGTAACAGGTTTTGACGTGGGTAACAGGGATGATGTAGATTAGGTGTCACCCTGTTTTAAGATTGTCTGTGTAAAATTCAAACATTTTAAAGGTCACCCTCAGTAAATTATTGAGCCAATGCCTAGTATATCATTCAGTGGCATATGAATTCTAATTAAATTATAGTATTTAGTGACGCTTGTGTCAGTAACAGGATTGACAAATATACCAAACATGAGGTAGAAAAATAGTCATAAATGACATAGCCTGAGATGGCACAATACAATTTCTTGTCATTTTAAGGTGTCTTCATATCATGGATATTTAAAAAAATGTTGATTAAACATTTTATTTTTCACTATTTCCGAGTGGAAAAGGCAGCGATTTCGAGGAATGACCCTTTGGTTTTTATCATCAAAAAATCACATATTGATATTCATATTGTCTCCACATTAATAAACACTCACCTGAGAGTCATTTCAGATTTCTGACATCTTCAGATCAGAGGACCTAAAACCTTGATAGACCTAAAACAGAATATCATGAGATATAAAATGTTACATTACAGCAAAAATACAGAGGAATAATTCACTAGAGGGCAGTTTCTGTCCCACGTTATACTTTTTTTTTCCTATCATGGTATATACACATGAATACATTTAGCAGACACTTTTATTCAAAGTGAATATAAGAAATACAACCAGGTTTCTAAAAATGGACTCAATTTAAATTTTTTTAATTATTTTGAAAATGAGCAACATTGTAAACTTTTTTTTAAATAACTTTTTTCTCTTTTTTATTTTAAATAACATTTTAGTGGCAGTCCTACATAATTCTGCATTTAAAATATATTTAAAATGTGACATATACCTTGTTTATATAATATATATTTATAATTAAAGATTTAATTATAATAAAATCAAATATTAAAATAAAAATAATCCAAATACTGGTGCAATCAGTGTAAACAGGTGTGTGCAATTCGTGCTGAGTGCAATCAGTAATGCATGATGGGAAATGTAGTCCGGGGTGCTATGCAACAGTTTGTGTGGTGCGAGAGTCAATGAAAAGGAAAGTTCATGGACCGGATTCGTGACAGCAAGGCACTTCAAAATGTAAATTTTTAAAATAATTAACATTTTAAAAGTATTTTTTTATGTGTATACACACACACACATACATATATATATATAACTTTCCATTTTTAAGCCTATAGTGGCACTTCTAGAATGTAATAATTTTAATATATATTAAAATAAAATACAAGTAATTTAAATACTCTCAAATACTTCAAAGAATATCATGGCATTACTGAGGTGCATGTTCAAAAATCATAGTAAATTCTGAGGTTCTTTGTAGTTAATGCTATAAGTAGATTTCAGTGTTTTCTGGTTTATCTGCAGGGCGTCTCATTCAGAAACCTGCTTCTCATCTTCATCACGATAGGAATCTAGACTCCAACCAGACAAACACTGATCCAGAGCATCATTCCTGTGGAGAAACACACACGCAGATCATCTGCGCAGACAGAGAGGACGCGCAGCTCGCCGGAGACCTCGACGCTCCTCACAGCGAGGAAGACTTCGGTGGACTGCTGGAGGTGGAGATGAAGCAGAGTTTTCCATCTGAAATCACAGGTCCAGACCGGCAGGAAAACACGGAAACAACAGATGATCCGCGCTGCTCGCAGATGCCTGCAAACACAGACGCATACGCGTCTGCGGAAAGCGGCTCATCTGTCGCTGCTAGACAAACATTAAACAACCTCAGCTTTGAGTCCGTAAACCAGAACTCATGGGCCAAGAGAACAGAACCAGACTTCATCCCAACGTTTCCGGATGAGAATATAAACCGCAGCTGCGCAGACAGACACGCATTTGCTGCGAGAGAAGCGGCGCACCGCAGAGAAACGGTACATGAGAAGTGGTTCATCTGTTCGTTCTGCGGGAAGAGTTTTGACCACTTCAGTCACCTGCAGATGCACCAGCGCATTCACACCGGAGAGAAACCCTACCGCTGCGCAACCTGCGGAAAAAACTTCTCACAGCAGAGCAACCTGCGCACGCACCAAAAGATCCACCGCAAGACACGCACGCATATGTAAAAACTAGGGATGCACCGATTGTTTAAAAAAAGAAAACAGCAGATGATCGGGGCGATTATTTATGAAAGCCCTTTTCTGCCACTGAATAAAAAAAATTAAAAAGGTAATTGCAATTTTTTATCACGCAATTCTGACTTTTTTCTCGCAATCGCGAGTTTACATCTCAATTCTTTTTTTCTCGCAATTGCAGGTTTACATCTCACAATTCTTTTTTTCTCGCAATCGCGAGTTTACATCTCACAATTCTTTTTCTCGCAATCGCGAGTTTACATCTCACAATTCTTTTTTTCTCGCAATCGCGAGTTTACATCTCAATTCTTTTTTTCTCGCAATTGCAGGTTTACATCTCACAATTCTTTTTTTCTCGCAATCGCGAGTTTATATCTCACAATTCTTTTTTTCTCACAATCGCGAATTTACATCTCAATTCTTTTTTTCTCGCAATCGCGAGTATACATCTCACAATTCTTTTTCTCGCAATCGCGAGTATACATCTCACAATTCTTTTTCTCGCAATCGCGAGTATACATCTCACAATTCTTTTTCTCGCAATCGCGAGTATACATCTCACAATTCTTTTTCTCGCAATCGCGAGTATACATCTCACAATTCTTTTTCTCGCAATCGCGAGTATACATCTCACAATTCTTTTTCTCGCAATCGCGAGTATACATCTCACAATTCTTTTTCTCGCAATCGCGAGTATACATCTCACAATTCTTTTTCTCGCAATCGCGAGTATACATCTCACAATTCTTTTTCTCGCAATCGCGAGTATACATCTCACAATTCTTTTTCTCGCAATCGCGAGTATACATCTCACAATTCTTTTTCTCGCAATCGCGAGTATACATCTCACAATTCTTTTTCTCGCAATCGCGAGTATACATCTCACAATTCTTTTTCTCGCAATCGCGAGTATACATCTCACAATTCTTTTTCTCGCAATCGCGAGTATACATCTCACAATTCTTTTTCTCGCAATCGCGAGTATACATCTCACAATTCTTTTTCTCGCAATCGCGAGTATACATCTCACAATTCTTTTTCTCGCAATCGCGAGTATACATCTCACAATTCTTTTTCTCGCAATCGCGAGTTTACATCTCACAATTCTTTTTTTCTCGCAATCGTGAGTTTAAATCTCACAATTCTTTTTTTCTCGCAATCGCGAGTTTACATCTCACAATTCTTTTTTTTCTCGCAATTGCGAGTTTACACCTCAATTCTTTTTTTCTCGCAATTGCGAGTTTACATCTCATAATTCTTTTTTTCTCGCAATTGCGGGTTTACATCTCATAATTATTTTTTTCTCGCAATTGCGGGTTTACATCTCATAATTATTTTTTTCTCGCAATTGCGTTAGGTCTCTAACTTCAAAATCACAATTGTGAGTAATAAAGTCAAATTTTGAGGGGGGAAAAGACTGTTCTCAGTTTTATATCTCATAAGTGACTTAACTCACAATTGCATCCTATAAAGTCAGAATTGCAAGATATAAACTTGCAATTCTGAGAAAAAAAGTCAGAATTGTGAGATAAAAAGTCAAATTCCTTTTTTTATTTCTTTATTCAGTGGCGGAAACGGGCTTCCATAATTGTTTCCTGTCAATTTGTGTGAAGAAAACGTTTCTTGTGTTGAATTTATGTCTGTCCAGGTTGACGCAATAATAACGTACTAACGCAGTGCCGTTAACGCGGGCTCTATTATAAACCAGGTTGCCAGATCTGCAATTTCCCTTAGCAAAACATTATTTGTAATGCGCCTCAAATCCTGTACATTTTATCACAAAATTCAAACAATAAATGCCATTTTGACACTCTTAAATGTGGCACGATAGATCGCCGTAGTGCCTCAGTTCAAGCAGCAGCACGAGTCTCTTCCACTTTACTATAAGTTATAGCACAAAATAAACGAATGAACATCAGAAGGTGTTGAAAGATACAGTACAACTTACTGAAGTGTATCATATCTCATAATCGCTCAGAGTTTCAACCGAAAGAAAGACGTCAATGAAACAGTTTGTAAACAGTGTCACTTAACGTTGCCTTTATCTCAGGAAAGTTATCCAGTGTTCACAGTTCGTTAGTTGGCTATAAAATTACAAGGAGCTTAAATACTGTTAAGTATTATATATGCATGTTTGAATCAATCCGTAATGAAGACAAGTTATGAGAACTACCTTATGTGCAATTAAATGTTTTTATTTGAGTGTGATTATGTCTGAAAATGAATAGCATTGAATATAGACTAATAGTTTTGATGTTAATTTTAACCTCTAATCTAATGTACCAAATGAGAGGGTGCCCTGCAGTTTACAGCACTGGTTGGGAGAGATTTGTTTTCCTTAAGAAAACTATCGACGGCCGAGTATTTTCCTATCGGTGCATCTCAGTGAAAACATACCGACACGCCACTGTGCCTTTCATCGACCGTTTCTGTATTTTCATTCACATTAACTTTTATTAAATCTCTGCACAGATCGATCATCTTTCTTTCTTTGAATAAACACTTACAGAAAACACATCTAGTTCAGGTCTGGACGTTAACACTAGTTAGTTGAGTAACAAACACCTACTAGTCACCAACAGCACATTTACACAAACTCAGAGTAGTAACATTTACAAATAGTGCAATACTGTAAAAACAAATACAGTGTTGGAGTTTTTATAAAGTAAATATAAATCGGTCCAAAATGTCACTGGACAAAGTAGTAAGTTCAGTAGTTTCCTGGGTGGATTGTAGAGAAGTAACCTGTTCATCTGTTTAACCCTTACAGAAATGTATCATTTTCTAACAAAGTGATAAAACTCTAACTGTGTATCAGCCACACTGGAGATCCATATTAATATGTCTTTACAGTAGGAACAATAACTGGTTAAAAAAACAAAACAAACAAAAAAAAATGCTTTTGTAAAGGAAAAATGTTACATGGCTGAAACTGACGTCTTTAGTTTTAGTTATTTTAGTACTTCAACTAAATAAATGAGAAATGCTGCCTTTGCAACTATTTGAAATAAAAAAATATATAAAAATAGAATTCATTACTTAAAATAAGTTTCTTTTATTTCAAGTAATGCTTATGATTTTAATTAACAATAACACTGAGCAATCATATTTTTATTAATGTGCATTAATAAAGATGACTAAATCCTTTAAAAAATATGTATATTATTGATTGTTTGTTAACGTTAGTTAATGCATTAGCTAACATGAACTAAGGAAATCGCATTGCACAATAAATCCTCAAATCTTCTTCACGTGTCGAGATGCAGCGATTGTGATGCATGTGCAAAGAGCCAATGAGATTCGAGCGAAAGATAATCAGTGAACAGCAACTTAAATCGATTTAGTCTAGTCTATTATTAGGGTTGGGTATCGAAAATCAATACCAATTCCAGAATCGGATACTTGTTGTAAAATTAAAACTTCAATTCCACCTATTAATTTCCTTTGTTTGTCTGGCGAAAAGGCTGTTAAAACATATTTGTCTTTGAATCATTCATTCAAGAGATTCATTCAAATACACTGATTCATCCAGTAATGACACAAGTATCTTCAGTGAGTCATTGAATCATTCCATTCATAAATTCCATTTATTTCCAGATTATTTTAGTTGTCTAATATTTTTTTCTTCAGAATTGTGAAAGAACTACAACCTCAATTTAAAAAAAAAAATCGTGAAAGATTCACGCAGCTCTATTTTGCACACAAACAGCTCTTAATCGAGTTTTTATGTAGCCGGCTGATTTTTGTTCATGATATTCAGCAGCAATTAAATGTTTTTTAAAAAATGCTACTAGCATTGATTAGCAAGTGACTAGCATGTTTCTAACATTATACTAGCATGTCGCTAGCATTTTTCTAACATTGACATGTTACTAGCATGTTGCTAGGATGATTAGCAAGTAACTAGCATTTTGTTAGCATGATTAGCAAGTTACTAGCATGTTGTTAGCATGATTAACAAGTTATTAGCATGTTGTCTAAGAACAATAATAATAATAATAATAATAAGCTTAAGTAGCAGATCAGTAGGTTGGCTTTCTCAAGCCAGCCTAATAACTACTATTAAATTCATCTTTAATAATTTATAAATGCAATATAATTGTCCATGACGGATGGAAGTGAAAAACACCTTATATTCAGGAGTGCATAATTAAGCAGGTTTTCTTTTACAGATAAAATTAGCCAAAAAGAGATTTAACTCAGACTGAAAAGTAAAAAAATATTAAACGCTGATGAGAAGGATGCAATACTAGAAATAGCGAGGCATGACATGATGGAACAACAACATACAAACTATACGACAGTAGATAATTCTCAGGTGAATATGTGCTTTATTCAAAGTTAAACGTGTCTAATGTGAGTCTGAATATCATTTATAGCCGTATTGAAAGCAACAACAGTTGACCTCAGTTCTTGAAAATAAATTAAAGCAAACGTGTACGTTAAAACTGTGAACCAACGAGTGTCTCCCATAACAAAGATGGCCTCAGTCACTCAGTACGTACATTTAACGATGCGAAAAAGATTTGATATTTATGAATTAAGATCATAAACATCCATTTCGTTGCGAGTGCAGTGAGCTTCCAGAGAGGCTCCGCCCACACACACTTCTGATTGGCTGTGATATTTGATTGCTTCTGTCACGAGGTTGAGTAATTAACGACAGAATTTTCACTTTTCAATTTTTGGTATCGGCCGTTTTTTGGCTAAAGATTTTTTTGTCCGTCGATTTTAACTAAACTACCGCTGATTGTTTATATCATATTTACAAGCGCTTTTAGGCATGTTGTTTGGTCTTCGCTCATGAAGATAAGCACTTTATGGAGTCAATAAAGTGGTCTGTTGCGGATATGAGATATAATATTTTTTGGTGTTATAAAAGGAAGCTTTTGGGTGTTTTTGTGCTAGTCCTAGTTTGTTGTCGTTTAATTTTTCTATGAATCGTTCTATTTTCAAAATGTGCTAAGATTAAGATTCTTTCACTGTTATTTTCTTGCATCTCACATACAGACGAAGACACATTTCTGATGCGCGTTTAAAGTATTTTAGTGAATTATGGCCACGTACACACTGCAGCTAAATTCGTTTGTCAGTTCACCTTTTACTCATTAATCGCACGCACACATAATTCACTAAAATACAGTAGTGACAACCGCAATCGACAACCTTATCCTTATAAACATACCCAAGAAAGATTGCTTGAAGAACACCGATAAACCATATATTGTCGCAATTGTATGTTTATGGTCTTCAAGTTTACTCAGTCAAAATTGCATTTCATTCAGCCTCAGCGATAACTGGATGTTTTTTTTTTATTAACAAGAACAAGTTACCTGTATATAACAAACATTATACATGATATAAACAACTATACACTAGAGGTGCTGTATACTAATACAGATTTACATAAAAATATTAAAGCGTTTACAAACTTTCACTGTTTTAATTGCCTTTTGTTTAATAGAAAATCGTATAGTATCAATATAATGCTACATTTCCTTCCTTAAAAGGGTCATATGATGCTTTTTTAAAGATCATTATTTTGTGTATTTGGTGTAACAGAATATGTTGACATGCTTTAATGTTCAAAAAACACATTATTTTTCAAATACTGTACATTATTGTAGGTCCTCTATGCCCCGCCTCTCTCAAACGCTTCGTTTTCTACAAAGCCCCTCCTTCCGACAAGCGCAGTCTGCTCTGATTGGCCAGCTGACCCAGTGCATTGTGATTGGCCGAACACCACAAGCACTCGTCGGAAATGTAACGCCCCTTACCATAATCGCGAGCTTTATCTTTCAAAATAAATGTAAAAACAGTAAATAATGTCATTAGTTTTACCTTCAGTTCAAGCCCGAAAGGGGAACAGACACAGTAATGATGCAGTACACAAGC